TGTTTTTAATCTAATTAATTTGCAATGCACTGAGCTATGAAAAACCTTATCTTAAAGTGACTTAAATTTTAAAACAATGTACTTAGTAAAATAATTTAGAATTCATTTAATTATTGTAAGTTGAAATTGAATTCTTTAACAACTCAAATATTTTTAGAATTCTATTGCAACCTATGCTTATATAAAAGCATCTCATATAAATTTTAAATTCACAATAAATCTATTCTGACATACAACATATATACAGTACTTTATTTGCCTTTACTAAAAAAACTTTAAAAAATTATTTGTACTGATTAATGATGTTTTAATACAAAGGTATCAGCTTGTTTACTCTATTTATTAATTGGTTTTTATTATAAAAAATAAATAAAAAAGCTGAATTAATTTATATTTCTACTTTATAAATTGTGGTTTTAATATTTTAAATATAGATTGCATTTTTTATAATATTAAACAAAATAAACACTTCTTCACAATTAAGTTTATAGATAATCTATTTGTTATCTAAAGAGTATATTTAAATTTTTATAAGTAAATTTTACTATTAAGCTAAATATAAAGCACTTCAATCCAAAACCTTTTTTTACTAAATAAATAACTCTTAGACTTTTAACAAAAGTTGTAGAGCTTATCAATAGGTATCTAATAGTGACAAGAATATTAAAATAAGCTTGGTGGTTCTTGAGAAATCTTTAAAAAATATTTTGCTGACATATAAAATTTCTTTAAAAAAGTAATTTTTTTTAAAGAAATTTTATGTTAGTAAAATGTTTTTTAAAGATTTTTTAAGAACCACCAAGCTAATTTTAATGTTCTTACCACCATTAGATGCCTCTTGATGAGCTCTACTTACAAACCCAAGAGTGATTTACTTAGTAAGAAAAAAAGTTTAAATAGACACGCTCTACATTCAAGCTTATAGTAAAATTTATATATAAAAAAAAAATTTTTTGTTCAGATGGTTTGTGATTTGCCTATTAAATTTCTTTATAAATACAGATCAGTTTTTATAGTTTTACAGTAAATATCTTTGATTAATACAGTATATAATAACTATGCATATTGATAAAATTATTTTATGATCTAAAATTTGAAATTAAAATTTAAAAACAAAATTGCTTTTGCTTTATAGATAAAATTTTTTGATACTTTGTTTGAATAAACAAAATTAGGAAAGTCGTATTTATAACACCGCGTTATATGCTATATCTAAAAAACATACTAAGTAAATGGGTGTAGGTACTCTAAATAAAAATGTTCAGTACCCTTGAAAACTTCATAAGAACTAAAATTGGGACCTATTGGAACCTTATATCTAATATATATTGTATAATAAAAAACTCCTATAAAACCCCTATTTTAACCCTAACTCTAATTAAAACTATATAGGTGTTATATAACATGGGTGTTATGAATATAATATTTCACAAAATTATAAGAAACATAAATATACAATTAAATTTGCGAATCTTATGTGATTATAAGGAATACATTTTAAAAATCATACGATCATTCTGATATGGATTAACTGTCAGAACGCGGGTCCGTAGACAACAATCTACAGGTTCGAATCCGGGCTGGCCCATACTCGGGGTGAAGATTCCCAGTTGAAATATCAGGTGATCAATATTGGCCGTTTTGCCCAAAATTGCGATGATTGCGAATTTGTCCTATACTAAAAATCAATCTCGTTATCAAATGATTCGATTTTATCACAAAATTTACCAATCATAAATTGCAATCGTTAATTCCAGACGAGTTTTTGTCGAAATGAGTAGAGCTAAATGAGTAGAAGGTAAATCAATAAATCGATATTCGAATCTTAAAACTAGATACATTTTAATACTAAATTTTCTGTTATCCCGTGATTTTTAAAAGGTTATTAAATTTCTGGTCTTTAAACGGTTTGTCATGTTTATTTTATTCTTCAAATAGAACCTAAATACGAGATATTGTTCAATGATTGGTTTTTTTTCCTATTATTGAGATTACAGAATTGCTAATATGTATAATATTTTATATTGCAGAATCTGTCATGTATAATCAAGCCTTGACTGTTGGTTCGCCGTATGTTATATAAAAATTATATGCTAGCTAAACTCATAGCACATTAATATTCTCACAGCCACAATTTGTTAAGGGTAACTTGTTTATATATGAAAATTTTTTGACAAAGGGCATGCACCCAGTAGTGAATCGGAGAAATGTAAGATGTTTGTTGATTATTTTTTTCAATTGCGACTTGCAAAAATTTTGAGAACTTTGTAAATTATTGAAATCACCCAACTGTTAAGTGTTTTTTGATTTCTTAAAATTACTACGATACTACGATATCCAAATATGCAATTTGCATATCGGAACAGTTTTAGAACAGAAATTATCCAACAATCGAGCGATTTCACAAAATTTTGTAAACCGCAAAAAATAGGTCGACTAGTTGCTAACTCATCCAACTAAATGATTAATCGAATTTCGCTATCAGGTTTATTAGTAGTAACTTACCATAAAACGTAAGTTCCACGGTAAATTTATTGGTAAGTTAAGGTAGTGACAAATACAGTATTTTACTCCTTTCCTCCCACATAAGAAACCTTTGATTGGCTAGTTTATAAATTTATAAGTGATCGAAGACCTCTTCCCACCAAATTATAATTAATTATTATAGTTGCATTAATCCGGTGGCTTACCATTTGTTGGCAGCTTACGGTAATTTCCCGATAACTTACCTAAGAATTTTATGTTACGATCCCGGCCAGAATTACGCAAATGTAGATCATTTGGCCAAAATTAACGTATATGACACAAACGTGCATAAAATGGAACAAATTTCAAATGAGACGGAAAGGGATAACCCGTAAATTGATTCACTATTTTTCCTCCTATCGATCTCGGCATTTGAAGAATCCAATCCTATGTGATTGATTCTTAATATCATTGTTTTTCTATTATAGCGCTTTGCACAAAGGTGTGACTCAATAATTTTCGTGATGACAGCTGGAAATTTCCGAAATTCTAATTGTCTGTTGATTATTTTTAAATCAACGTTTATATTTATTGAAATCTTTAAAATTGTCGGAAAATAAAAAAATCGGCCAGAGTTTTTTTGCAGGGATCAGATCTTTTTGCAACCGTCATAATAATCCGCTTGATGATCAAGTAATGTGTTATTTAAACGACTATAACGACCAGTTGTATACATATTTAATTACGTGTAATCATCGCAATCATTGTGACAGCGCACAAAAATCTATTGTAAAACACCGGAGATTCTGTTCAAGACAAATTCCGGTGTAATTTGTTTGACAATCGGACATTTTTTTGCATCATAACAGACTGTTACTACTTCCACCTATAGATTCTAAATTCCATTTAATAGAAACATACCAGAAAAATGCCGGAATATGTCATGCCAAGATTTTGTGCGAGATTAGATAAGGAGAGTATCATTACCCAATTTACAGGTTTTTCATTCAATTACTCAAATTATATATTTATCACATGACAGGAATTGAGTTTACACGCTCCATGTCAATTGCTTTTGATATACAGGATTTTTGCTAGGAAAATCATATCATGATTTTCCTAGCAAGACCCCAATATTATTGTAAATTTTTTAATTTAGCGTTAATTATTATTTTGCACAACTCAGATCTGGGGTTGTAAAAAAATTACCGGTAATTTATCAAAAAAAAAAAAATAGAAAATTTGCTGGTAATTTGCCAAATTACCAAAGTTCTACAACCCCTAGACCCGATTAATACGTTACCATTGTCGAATATGCTTGTTAATTTGTCCCCTCTTCGTAAGTGGTACTCATTATACTTGCATCTATTTAAAATGAGGCAAAATATGACACAAAGATGCATATAATATGTTACCTAAATTACATATGCCAACGTGGTTCGTCTTTATGAGTAATAAATATATGTATGTAGAATTCGCCCAACAAATTGTTTTTTAGGATAATCTTTGATGGATTTCTGTTTGATTACGACAAAATAACAGAAATATAAATGCATTTCAATAAATAGAACCCTTTTTTTACTAATTTAAAACATAATCAGAAATCATTATTATTATTATTATTATTATTTGGCCCCGTAGAAAATAATAACGATAAAAAACAACCCGTAATAACCGTAATTTTAGAATTTGGAACCGGTTTATTTTCATATATTAAATCTGGTTTTCATCGGGTTTAACACGGTTCTAAATTTGTGTTAATAATATTTCCATTTATGTTCTATATAATCAGTAACAAATATATCAACGGATTTTATTTTCATGATTGTATAATAAAGTTAAAAATTTTATAAATAAATATTATTAAACGAATAAAAACTTTTTAATGATAGTAAATATCGGGGTTTTTTTTCTAAAAATTTTTATAAACTATATCAATAAACATATATGCTTAACCGATCGCTCAAAGTCGAAAAAGGATATTGAATGAACGTGAATGGTCTAAAATATGCGTTAACACAAAATTCATAAAACAAGAGCATACATACATGAATATTTCGTGTATACATTGTGTGCATGAATTGTAACTGTTTACTTTGTACATATTTATTACTGCCGCATAAGTAATTTACAATCCAACCTTAAATAGTAATTTTTTATATTAATCTTCTATCATATTTCCAAAAGAATATAAATTTGTACAAAATTTTTTATACAGTAAAAATATTTTTTTACAATAAAATATGTTCAAAACATAATACAGGTGATAACATATAAAAACAACCAATTGAGCAATTGTAGACTCGTTCTTTTCGACCCACTTCTTTAGAAAATGTATACTCCTTTAATGAGGGTATGATATCATCTAAAACTAGAGATAGTCTAGCGGTAGAAGTTGTTGGCTTTGCCATATACATTTGCCCGTCCGACCCTCAAACCTTCCTTGCAGGCAAATTCCCTAAAATACGACTAAATGAGACCAAAACTCACTAGTCTCATCGTCTTCTTAGTCTTATTTTTAGTGGTCGGAGAGAATGGTAAGACTCCTTTTCTTTTTTATTTTATTCAAAAAAAAATCCAATTATTTATAAAGAATTAAAGGCTTATAATTTTACTTATCTAGGGTTCATATACGCTTATTCTATAATACGGAGATCGACAGGGCCAAGTTTATCTAATTATGAATTAAGTAATTTAGAAAAGCGGATGAATGGTGTTGTTGGTATGTATCTTTATTACTAGATATTAAATGTAATAAACCATAAAAATACTCATTTTTATTCTGTAAAAGGTCAAAGTAAGAGAGATGTTAAGACATCAACAACACCACGTAAGAATTTTATTCATTACTTCATTAATTAATTGCCATAAAAGCGCATATACAAGATCTCCCAAATAGTAGTTCCACCATGAATTAGGAGCCGCGGAATCTTTATTAATCAAATGCGGTTTTTTCTTTAATTAGCTAGAACTTCTATTATAAATACAAAGCTTATATACGCTTTAAATTTTTTTGCTTTTCTCAACATAAGCTCTATTAAAAAGTTTTAAAATTAATGGAATGAAATAGACCTGGATCTTGTATATGCACTTTTACGGCAATTAATTTATTCATTGGATTTAAGTTTAAATTGAAGATTAACAATCGATTATCGTTATATTGAAAATTGGGTAAATAAACAGATGGTGCCTATCCGACTACACAAAGAGATTCATTAAAAAAGGGCTCGATAGAGTCGGGCACCTCTAAAAGTAATATAACAACAATAAATAAAAATACAAAAATATTACGTTCCAATGCCCCTTCTCCCACAACCACTAAAATTACTGTCCCTGAAAATAAAGTGAACGATTACGTGAGAGCTCGAGCAGCCTTACCACAAGTTGACAATCAACCACAAAGTAACACTAACAGCTCACCTGAATCATCCGATAAATCAATAGACAACTCGAAAACTGATAAAACAACCGATAATAAACAAACTGATAATAATTCAAATAAATCAAATGAAAAAAGTTCATCTAATAACCCATCACCTCCCGTCGATATTCCACCACCAATTGACATGCCGATATCAACAGACAATTCGCAGCATGACAGCAATCCACAATCTAATACCAAGCCACAGCCTGATACCAATCCACAGCCAGACACCAATCCACAACCTAAAAACGATCCACTACCTGACACCACCAATTCAAAACCTGACACCACCAATTCAAAACCTGACACCACTAATCCACAATCTGACACTAATCCACAATCAGACACTAAACCACAATCAGACACTAAACCACAGTCTGATACCAATCAACAACCTGACAGCCAACACAATACACCAACTGATAATGGCAACTCGACTACCCCCGACGTGCCTAACATCCCAATGCCCAACGTGCCAGTTTCTAATGATACGACACCTTCTAATGATAATCCAAATTCAGTTCCTGTGCCAAACATACCAATATCTACTGATGCACCAGATCCTAATTCACAACCGATACGTGCTGTCTCACAAGTTCCAGATCAGCCAGCTCAGCCCTCACCAGCACCAGATCAGCAACCAGCTCAGCCCTCACCAGCGCAGCAGCCAGATCAGCCGCCAGCTCAGCCCTCACCAGCGCAGCAGCCAAATCAGCAGCCAGCTCAGCCCTCACTTGCTATGCCAGATATACCAATTCCTTCTGGTGCAACAGATCCTAATTCGCAACCGATACGTGCTGTCTCAGATCAGCCAGCCCAGCCTTCAATTGCACCTTTACCAAACATTCCTACTAACGTACAAGCACCAGCAGCAGTTTCTAATCCACCGATACGTGCTGTCTCAGATTTACCAAATCAGATTCCTTCAAACTTACCAAATGTCAGTCCAAACGCTGTTCCTACACAAATTGTACCCAATCCTACCGCGGCACCAGCTCTTAATTCACCACAAGCTGCATCAAATGCCAATGCTGCACCAGCTGCGACTAATAATTCTCCACCAAATACTCCACAGTTTACTGTAATGCCTACTACTGCTGTTGTAACTAGTGTAGGATCAACAGTTGCAACAGTATTTAACAGTCAACAATCTAGTTTGCAAGTGACAACATTTAGTGTTACAAGTGTTTATACTACTAGTTTTTTAGTTTCCAAACAAATCGAAAGTCTTACTGGAACTTTTAATTATCCAAAAAATACACCAACAAGCACATCTGATAAAGCAAAAGGTAATAATGATGGTGATGATTCATCAGATAGTAGTCATATTATAGGCCCAATATTAGGTGCAATAACAGCTACTGCATCATTGGCTTTTATTATAGCCTTAGTTCTTATTAGGCGAAAAAGATGTACCTCAGGACACTATAAACTTAATGATGATTTTGATTCAGGAGAATTTAACGTGCATGATGATGATATGCTTCAACCACCAGAAATGGCACATATTGATACATATAGCGATATTATTGACCTTGGTTATGGTAGCAGTAGTAGTAGTGATGGTGGCACTGGTGCTGTTGGTATGTTAATTGATGTACCGACACCGACTCCATCTTATGATGGAAAAAGCAGATTTACTGAAAGGTTCTGATGTATGGTTTGTAATGCAATAGTTATTCATCATAGTTAAACATGTATGACTTTATGTATTATATGTTTAATCCTGTAATTTTATTTAATATAATAATTTATTATTTTTTTTCTTTAAATATAATTTTTTTTTGTGAAAGGAGGAATCAGTCTCTTGACAACACCAATCAAAATAATAGAATAGATAAAAGTTTTAATAATTAACTAACAAGCTGTACATTTTTTTTGTTTTCTTTGGTGGCGGTATCTATGGCATTATTTGTATTGTATTATCATCTTAATAAAACTATCCTTACCATTACTGTATTACTCTTGTAAATTTACCTAAGTGTATAATTAAATCTATGTTATAGGAACTAGCAAAATGTTTATGATGATGTTGCTCTAGAAAACGTGTCACTTTTGGTGTACACAAAAATAAATACTTGTTTGACCGTTTTTAGAAAAATTTAAGTGATGCGTTAAATAAAAATAATATTTCACATGCATACATAAATGCAAATAAAAATTTTTTTTGTATACATACATACATAGTGTAACTATCTTTTGTCAGGAGTGCTGCTTAAGAAAAAAGAATTGAAAGACCAATTCAATCCCATAATTTACGTGGAAGAAGGGTTGAGCTATTTGGGTAAATAGGAAAAAACTTTATAATGTTCCTGTTGGAAGGCCAAATAGAAAAGATGAAGCGAGGGTGAATAACTGATATCAATATGGTAATGCGCAGTGATGTACGTTGGACATTTTTGGACAGTACATTTTTGGACATTTGGACAAAAAATAAATCTAATTTATTCAAAATTTTATTATAATAAACTGTTTTAATCTCTAAGTAATATATAATCATATATTTTTTATAAAAATATATAAATAGTTAAAGCTAAAATTAATATTTCAGATCTTGGACATTTTCAAAAAAGCTGTGGACAGTCAAAATATACATCACTGGTAATGCGTAGTAAGAATTATTGCAATATTCAAAAGTTAAGAATTTGTAACAATGCAGTGGCGCCACATGTTTTTGGGGTGTCCAATGCACTATGTAAATCAAATCTAAGTAAGGTCTATATGATAAATTTGTATATACGGATTTTTTGC